CTGGCCCAACTGAGGAGATTAAACCAGAAAATGAACCACTGCCATTTAACCAGGACCAAAATGATGAAGGAGACATGATAAAGAATATGGAAGAGGCCCAGTTAGCAAGGGATAGAGTCAGGAGAGAGATCAGACCTAATGCCAGATTTAGCTATGAAGATGTGATAACATTGGTTGCTGGTGTAGAAATTTACAGGTATGAGCTTGACTCTTATGGAGAAGCAATAAGCTTCAAGGACAACAAGAAGTGGCCTGCTATCATGAAGGAAGAAATGGAGTCCCTAAAGCTGAATAAGAATTGGTCTTTGGTCTCAAAGCCAAAAGACTAGAAGCTGGTGGAGTGCAAATGTCTCTTTAAGTTGAAGAAAGGCATCAACATGTTAGATTCTCCAAGATACAAAACTAGGCTAGTGGCTAAGGGCTTCACACAAAGGGCAGGTATTGGCTTTAACGAAATCTTTTCACCTATAGTTAAATTCAAAACTATTAGGATAATGTTGTCAATTGTAGCACACCATGATTTAGAATTAGAACAATTAGATGTATAGACTGCCTTTTTGCATGGTGAGTTAGAATAAAGGATTTTTATGAGTCAACCTACTAGTTTTAAGCATAAAGCTTGCCTGAACATGTGTGCTTTTTGCATAAGTCCCTTTATGGTCTTAAACAGTCCCCTATACAATGGTATAAAAGATTTGACTCATTCATAGTAGGAGTTGGTTTCACTAGGACTAAGTATGACAATTGTTTTACTTTGCTCGTATTAATAACATGCCTATATATCTACTTTTGTATTTTGATGACATGTTATTAATAAGTAAATCTAAGCCTAATATTGATGACTTGAAAGCAAAATTGAGTACTGGATTTGATATGAAGGACTTAGGCTGTGCAAAGAAAATATTAGGGATGATGATTGACAGAAATAGAAGACTTAATAGGTTAAAGCTTCACCAATTGCCTTACTTATAGAAACTGACCTCTAAATTTGGAATGGCTGGTTCTAAATTAGTTACAATGCCCTTAGCAAGTCATTTTATTCTTAGCAAGCTGCAATGTCCTAAAATTGAAACTGAAGTGTTAAAAATGGAAAACATCCCTTATTCTAATGTCATAGGCTTAGTGATGTATGTCATGATACCTGATTTTTCATTTGCAATATTACTGCTAAATAGATTTATGTCCAATCCTGAAATTGAACATTGGGTTGCTTTAAAATGGACGTTGAGGTACATTAACAGCATTGTGCATGTTGGTTTAGATTTATGTAAAAGAAAGACTTCACTTGATCTGGTTGGGTATGTAGACTCTGATTTTGTAAGTAATAGAGACACAAGGAAGTCTACAACAGGCTACTGTTTTACCCTTGGAGGTAATTGTGTGAGCTAAAAGTCACAATTACAACCCTTGGTGGCATTGTCCACAATAGAGGCTGAATACGTGGCTATAACTGATGCATTTAAAGAAGCTATATGACTTCAAGGGATCTTGAAAGAAGCCAACCTACTGGATGGGCTTGTGTTTGTATACTCTGACAGTCAAGTGTCATCCATCTGAGTAAAAACCCAGTATACCATGAGAGGACCAAGCACGTGAATGTGAGGTTCCACTCCGTAAGAGATCTCATCCCAAATGGACAACTGAACCTGATGAAGATGCCAACTGAAGGGAATCCAGCAGACAGAAGGACCAAGGTGGTGACCTCTACAAAGTTCAAGCATTGCTTGGACTTATTGCACATAAGGTGATGTATTAGAGTTGAGAAGGAACACTTGAGAAGCTTGTTGTACTAGAGAGAAGCTGATGTAAGGGGAGTTGTAGGCTTCAAGGTGGAGATTGTTAACTATTGAAGCCCACAACGGTGTCGTTTAAGGGATAAGTCATACGCTACCATTTTAGACTTCACTCTTGCAATCCTGATCGTCAATCCGAGAATCATCCAACGGCTGTAACTCCTCTTGAGGGTCAACGCTATAAATGTGTCCTAAATTTCTTGTTCAAGAACAACGAAATATCTCTTCTCTTTGTCTCTAAAATCTCACTCTGCTAGGGTTCTTGTGTGTACTCAAATTTGTGTAATCTTTGTACAATTGGTTAGATTGTTAATTGAAGGTTGTGTTTTCTTCAAGGGTAGTAGGTTAGTCTTTAATTGAAGGTTGTGTTTCCTTCAAGGGTAGTAGGTTAGTCTTTCTCTAGGATCGTAGGTTACTGTAAGGGTTGAGTAATTAAGTAGCTAGTGAGTTGTGTAGTTCTTGATGAGCTGTTATTGTACTCTGTAAAGACTTTTGATAACTATAGTGCAGCAGGCCTCAATGTTCTAGAGCTTAACGTGGACGTATCTTGTTTAATCTTGAATAAGTGAACCATAATAAAGATTGTGTCTTTGTGTTCTTATATATATATATATATATATATATATATATATAGAGAGAGAGAGAGAGAGAGAGAGAGAGAGAGAGAGAGAGAGAGAGAGAGTTAGTTAGTTACATTTGTGATGTTGACTTAGCGGGGGTTTGGGTTAATGTGGGTTTAGGACCACGTTGAAATTGATTTATTATAGTACTATGGTAAAGTTTAGTAATGAAAGACTGAAAAATTGCTGGGGACTTAATGAAAAACTGTTGAGGAGGTCCTGAAACTGAAAGTCCTGCTACAACTCCTATTCAATGCTTGGGATTTTTCTTTTCTTCTTTTTTATTTAAAGAGAAAAGTTTCAGCCCTTGGTTGGATTAGTCCGAGGACTGAGTACCCGCGTTAGTTGTTGGAGCATTATTGCCCTAAAAGTTAATTACACTTTTAACATTTTAGATAAGTCTGTGAATCAAAAAGTGAGAATTGGGTAAGTACCAAAATTTGAATTCCTATTCTTAATATTGCTGTAGTTTATATATAATACAATCTGTCATAATCATATTATGAAGCAAGCTACAGGTTGTCTGTTTACCACTTGCAAGGGACACACATAATATATACAAAGAATCCCATTACTTAATTGATTGGCAGGCCACAGATACCCAAAAAAAAAAAAAAAAAAAAAAAAAAGCGCATCTAGTTAATCAAACTGAGGTACGATGATTAGACTATAGATTATAATTATTTAAGAAGAATGATAGTTGATTGATTTGACTCTGCCACCCCCTATTATATTAGGAATAAATTAGTTTGATAATGATATGATTTGCGCTTGGATTAAGGCCCAAGTCTAATTAATTAATTATGCTCCTGTTGTTTAGTGGTTAATTGCAGATTTTTTTAGAGAGAGAAATTAGGCAGGGAGGATCATAATATGAATTTAATAAAATATTCTTGACTGAAATAAGATTGAATTGGTTAATGACATTTAATTGGCAAAAAGTTAGTTAACTTTAACTAAATTCATTTGCAACTACTAATGAATATTCATTAACATTAATGATTGTGAAGAGATTATAGCATAGTATTAAACCACGAATACAAAAATAAAATTATTAATCAACTTTTGGATAATTGAGTTATTCGATAAAGACTTTTAAATATATTATTTAAGATATTTTGAGTTTTTAATTTTTCTTTGATGTCTAATAAAGGGAGTTATTAGAGTTTTTTTTTATAAAGGATTACTTTAAATGTCGTAAACTAGTCTGGAAATCTTTGATACGACGAAAAACAAAATAATAATAATAAGAAGAGGGAGAAAAATGGATTACCCAAGGGAGTTTTCATCATTAAATGCAATTGGATAGTGATAGTGACATGTTAATGTTATATTGAGTGTGAGATAGTAAATAAAACCTACAAATAGTAAATAAAACCTACTAGTCTAATAACAGCATGACACCTCGCTAACTAAACCTTAATTTGCCTTCACCATTCAGGCAAAATCCACCAAACACCTCTTTCGTATGGCTCTATATATAGATTTATGGGAGATAATACATTTTAATTTACCAAAAAAAATAATTTAAATATTTACAAAAATCAATACATATTGGAAATCCGTGAGTGATGATCATGAGAGATGAGATGTTTAAAGTGTGAACCCCGATTAATTCCATTTACAACCAAAGGGTCAACTTTGGAATTAAAGTGCACGTGTGACTGATTACGAGAAATTTTTTTATATATAATTTATAATTTCACCTGAGTTTAAATGCTTCAATTTCAATATTCCTGCAATTTACAAATATAATTAACAATAATTAATCTTAAACTACTAGATCTAAGGACTAAGGTCTCCCGGTTTCCAAGTTCCAACCAGTTAAAATATTAATTTAAGCGAAAAAAAGAATGATGGAAAAATGCAACGAAACATGGTTAATAAGAAGACAAAAAATGGCAACCCAAGAACTGGGGTCCCTTTTATTTATTTGCTTTTGCATTGCTTCCACATCTTACAGCTATGAGATGCGTGTTATCAAGCCTTTGACTTGAATTTTTTGTTCGTATATTATTATTAAATTCTCCAGAAAGATGTAGAAGCCAAGGCATGAATAATGAAATATGATTTTAGGTTTCTGTGTAAAGTTAATATTTGTAATCAAACTCCACCAAACCCTCTATTTTTGTCACTAATTTTGGAGTTTTACGACTTCCAAGTTATTAAAGCACAAAAGCTTCAAACTTTGTATGGTTGATTTTGAGCACGTAGGGTAGCAAACTACCGATTTTTGTGGCTGTGGGTGATACATGGGACGATCAAATAAGTGGGGTTTATGAATTTCTGCTTACCTTTTTTTTTTTTGGGTTTGGTTCAAGATGGATCAAATAATTTAGGGCGATGAAAATGCCAAAAATTAAGGTAGTTGAGCTGCGTATAAATGGATATTATTTTGGTGGTCTGAATCTCGATCCTTTGCCAACTCAACTTTGAGATGGGAAGTCAGAGAAATGGAAGAAGACCCAACAACCCTTGGAAGATTGGTAGTAATTATATAAAATGTAGAAAATATACATAAACAAATACGCATGTAGGACACGAGGGGAGAGCTATTGCATGCGTATTTCATACAGTAGTTGAAAAGCAACAACTACTGTATTACACTTTCATTTGACAGGAAATAAATACCCAAACAATTAACTTCCACCTAAAGTCTAACCGTAATTAATATCTCACCCCTGTATAACAACACTATCATCTCATCTCCAGGCTCTTATATATTCTGGTAATCCAATGTCTTTAACGCATTCAGAATTTGACTATTGAACATTGATCTTCAAGGGGAATCAAGTAACGCCAAAGTGGAAGAAGACAGTCGCATATTGCATTTATCTTATTTCAATTAATAGCTGTTACGTATACACTAACCAAAGAAACCACACTAATCCGCAACTGCAGACCCAGTAACTAGTAACTTAAGAAAAGATAACCTTTTGCCCTTTGAAATCTTTTAAGAAAAAAAAAAGATTGTAAAAGGGCTTACATCAAACGGAAACCAAACACCAAAAAAAAAAAAAAAAAAAAGGAAAAAAGAAAACTCCTGATCCAAAATTAACAGTGAGGTAAAGTGAACACACCGAAATCTGCACATTAATATTTAATGTTCCCACAATAAAGCTTCAAACCCAGTTGTAATCACACTATCTTGCATTGATAACATCTGATCATTAAAATACTCTCCTCCACAATAACCTTCTTCGTAATAATAATGGTAATCGTACCACGAGTCAACAAAAACCAACTCGTTCCCACATTCACTCGACTCGTAACTCGTTCCTAGACTCGGTAACTCCACTATCTCACTCAGCTCTTCCGGGGTGGACACGTCACTTGCTTCCAGTACTGACGATGATGACGTTGACGTTGACGTTGACGTTGTTGTTGTTGACGGTGACATTGACGACTGTTGTTGCTGAGTATTGAACACTTCCATTGAAGCTGCCTTGGCGGCAGCGGCTTGGACGTCGCGGGGAGAGTTGGAGGCGGGTCGGGGCAGGGACCCGGCAAGTTCGGGGAAGTTGAGAATGGCGGAGGTGCCTTTGATGCTCAATGCTGCCACGTCATGCGCACGTGCCGCCATTTCAGGAGTGGAGAAAGTACCAAGCCAGATCCGGTTCTTCTTTCTGGGTTCTCGGATCTCGGATACCCATTTGCCCCATGTCCGCATTCGGACCCCTCTGAACACTGGATGCTTACTATTAGTGTCCCTCGGTCGTTTGTTCTGTTTGGTAGTAGTTTTCGGGCCTGATATCGGGTCGGGTTTCTTAGTATGTGGGTTTGGTTGAGAGAATCCAGAAGACGAGGAGGACGATGATGATGAAGATGAAGAAGAAGAAGAGTTAGTGATGCACGAGTCGTGCTCCAAGTTTGGCCAGTCAGTCATTTTGTAAAGAGAAGTCCGAATGAGTTGATAATATTGTGGATTGGGAAGTGAAGTAAGTAAAATGTAATGAGTTAAAAGAAATATAAGCAGAGCATGCAACAGTAGAGGAGTATGAGACTGAGAGAAGAAGGGAGTGAGTTTTTTTGCAGAGAATAAGAAGCAATGAAAGAGGAAGGGAGGGTTTTTATTAGAGAGAATGAGAGGAAAAAACGAAACGTGGTTGTTTAATTCAAAGCAAAGAACACTGCCGACCTGTCGTTTTTAACTCGTTTAACACCCGGTTTCGTATTTTATGCGTATAAATACAGTGTAATTAACATTAACTGAAGCAGTGGCCCTAGGATAAGAGAGTGGAGGACATAGCTGGCACAGCCGTCTTGCTCAAGTTCATCAACTACAGTAGAATAGCCATAGGGGCTTTCACTTCGCTTATTGTTAAATATAGTTTCTATTTATTTCGACCATATCTTCTCTGCTACTGCTTCCATCTTTTACATAACACTACTCTTCTTTGCTTATTCTCACCAACCCTAACTGAATTCACTTATTTACTCTACTGCATTCCTTGCCACTGTTTTTCTCAATTTTTTCTCTTTTAATGGCGAATGTATATATTAATTAACTATAATTTTATATAAATAAATGTTCCATTAAGATAATATTTAAATTAGAGTTTAGTTTAACCAAAAAATAATATTAACAAAGTTTGATTGATGTAACAAATGTTCTAATAAGATCACATTCAAACTAGAGTATAGTTTAACCAAAAATATTTGTGTTTGTAATTTAAATATAGCAAAGGTTGTTAGAAGTGCTGTTAAAAATGGGATACGCCATACTTTAGATGGGGTAAGGCCTTGATTCATTTGGACCCATCTACAAATACACCTAAATACGATTTTGATCATATGTCCAATCACCGGATAACATTATTTATATATATTTTTTGAAAGAATATATAAATAATTTTTCCACCGTTTGACGAAATGACACTTTTTTATCGTTCATTAACTTATGTTATATTTTTCATTAATATTTTACTGAAAAGATAAAAGTGTCTTTAAAATTTTGACTTTATTTTTTATTATTTTTAATTAGTTAAAAAGTCAAAAAAAAAAAAGTAGTTAATCGCACATAAAAAGTTAGGAGTAATGCGATAAAATTGTTTAAAGTTAAATGATCTTAATATTTATTTATTTATAATGTTATCAATATCACATCACTATTATTCAATAATCTACTAAATTTATAATATTTTTCATAATATAATGTTTTTTATTTTTCCTAATTAAAATAGAAAATCAATAATCCTAATTAATTAATTAAATAAATAATATATCTTTATACTTGAACTAATAAATAATCGAGTAAAAACTTTGACTTAATTAAACTTTAATTTATAATAAACTATTTAAGGTTATTTTCTCATTTTCAGTCAAATATTAACAGAAAACACTAACAGAATCTGATGAAGGATGGGAAAGTGATATTTTAAAACTTGACGGGTGAAAAGTGTTATTTCATCAAACCTTGTGTGCGAAAATGTCGTTCTCCCCATAAATAATAGTTGGGGTCACCGCCGGTCCTCCCCTCCCCTGTGAATGGGCACTACATAATTGAAAGAGTAGTAGGTTTGGTCTTGGTTCACGTAACCAGAGAGTTATCATCTCTCAAAATTAAGAAACTCAACCATTATTGGACATTCCTTAATGAATTACAACCACCACCTTAATTTAAAATCTACATTCTCATTTAACTGTCAAAAAGATTTATACCCATTCAGGCAAGAATAATAATTATAAAACCCCCTTTCTCTTATAAAAAGATTGTTAAAACTTAAAATATTGTATGCAGCAATCTGGGTCCATCAACACCCTAATTATTAATTTGAATCATGGGTACGTACTGGGGGAAAAAATTAATGGGATGGATCTGATTTCTATATGTTATTTCTTAGTTCTTTGTTATGGGGATTGACATATTTAATTTTTAAACTAGGGATGGGTATAAAACCCGGTCCCGTAGGGACTCGATCGCCCGAACATGGCAGAGTTTTCTCGAATTATTCGGGATTTGGGTCGGGAACGGGCCCAAAATTAATCCCAAAATTTGGGGATGAGTTGGGGTGATGGGGTCGGGATAGGTCTTACCCCGGCCCACCCCGAAATCCCCGGCCGATATATATATATCAAAAAGTCAATTATATATATTATATATACCTATATTAATTTTAATAATTAAAAGTCAATCATATATTATACAATAACAAATTATAATTGTGTAAGTATTTTATAAAACCATATACAAATAAGTAATAAATAAAACTAGATTAAATATATATATATATATGCTATTATCTGTAATCATATGTTAATACATAATATATGTGTAATATATTATTTGGTGTTTTGATTGATTATAATAAATCAATAAATTATTATAGATTTAATTTCTTTTTTGATGGTATATTATAATTTGGAGAAAATGGTAATAAGGACACAAAACCCCCAAACAGGGAATGGGCTTTATTCGGGGATTCCCCGAATTCCTCGAATGGGTACAAGTTGGGATCAAAGAATCCCTTAGGGCTTTCGGGCCAGGGTCAGAGACAAGGGTCCTCGCCCCGGCCCCCGCCCCACCCCACCCTGCCCCGGCCTGTGCCCATCCCTATTTAAAACTCATCTCATCGCATTTATTGAAGCCTTTATATTATAGAGCAATGCTAGTTTTACAAAGACACATACAAATGGGACATACAAAAACAATCTTCACCCTTGATTTTCATAATTGTTCTCTCTCTCTCTTTCTCTTTTTCCGTTTTTTCTTTGTTTTTTCTTCTTAATGATGTCACTTTATAACCCTCTTTGTATAAGTCTTTATAAGGATATCATTTTTCTATACTATATCCAGTAATTAGGAATATTTGAAATTGATTATGACGTACATAAAACAAACACAGAATCCTTCTAATTTGAAATTAACATCGTAGACCTAGAATTCCCGTAAACTTAATGATAATAACTAAGCTGTTTATAGATATCACCTAAACCAGAATCTGTCACTTTATATAAAATTTATTTATAAACGAAACAAGGACCACTGTGACTGTGTTCAGAAACATATTAGTAGTTGGCTATAATTGTTATATTCCTTTTCTAAGCTTCAAACTGTTTCAAATGGTGATTTTGAGTTTGATGGCTTTTATTTTTGGTAGTTTTGGCTATTTTAACAGTTAATGGGCTGATGACACATACGGTCTACTTTTATTTATTTTAACGGACTGGAATTGGAAATATTTTATTGGGCTCCATAAAGTAATATAACTCCACGTCCCACATTACATATTCTATTGTTTTTTCAGGACACCCAAATTTTTTTTTTTTTTAATACCTAGAAGACTCGAATTTATAAAATCAAAAAACCTCATTTTACTTTTTTACCATCAAACCACCTAGGAGGCTAGGACACCCAAATTAATGTGCAAAGGGACCCACATCCGCATCACCAAATATAACTTCTGCTCTAAAAACTAATTCACAATTTTCTACTCTATTATATTCGACAAGTCAAAATAAGCAGAGTGCAAAACATGCTTGACACCACCAATAAACTTCACATATGTTATTAAAAGCTGGAAAATGGGTTTTATATTGAAAGTTAAGGCCATTAACACTATTAAAAGACAAGCCTTTAAAGCCCATGCAGTGCAGCCGTTCAGGAAACTGCATATGATGTCCTGTGGGGATCAATTATATTTATATATAAGTTGAAAGGAATATTGAGCAAGCATTTAGTTTAGCATCATTTCTGCAATTAAATGGATTTAAAGGTTTAAAAGATATAAAATTAGAGAAGCAAAGCATATAAGAATCCAAACTAAATTTGTCCTTGCTTCATCTTTCCAAGCTCCACCAGCATAGTCAGAAGTGCCTCACACATTTCACAGGCATCAGGCTCACTAGGATTCTTGTTCCATGAAGAGTAAACCATCAGAGCATGGTCGAGCTTTCGGTTTGGTCTCACTACCACAGAACCTGGAACTTCTGCATCACGGCACGTTACTAATCCATCACTCTGCTCCCCATATCTCAGCTGCAGATGGAGTGCACACATAGCCATGGCGGCAGAAATAGGAATTACAACAGGCACCTGCCGTCCTGCTTGCACTAAATTATCTGATTCCTCAGACCCAAAGTTTGGCAGGGGAAGCCATGGAAGTTCTGCATGAGCTATGTGGGTCATCGTGGCAAGGACACCAGGACCTATGCTTGCTTCCGAGTGGAAGGAGATCAGAGGGATTTCGTCTGGGAGTTTGTGATTCATGATGAACTCCTTCCGTTTTTCATATGTGAGATCTTCTAAAGCTCGTATATCTCCCTACAAGAATATTATCCACAAAATGATTATCACATTCAGGAAAGTTACACATCATAAGAAAATCCGGCTTGAGACAACTTGAAATGTTTTTCAAGTGCACAAACTATGGTTTACAAGATGTATATAAGATGACATAATTACAACATACAGGATGAATCCACACACAACACACCATGCACACTGGCACAGAATCTTCAAGGCAGTAAGTTTTAGTCAAGAAAGTGGACAACCTTAATTATCGTGCATATTATAAGCTCCATGATCCTCCGGGTTTCTTTATCGGCAATTTGGCCTTCACGCAGTATATCGGAAGCTACAGGGGTGCCACCATACGGGCTCTGTACAAGTGCCAGTCCTGCAACTTTATTTCTGAGGTCAGACCAGTAAATTGACAAAGCAGCAGCAGCATCAACCCCACCCTTACTGTGCCCAAGCAGCATCACACGCTTGCCAGATCCCCAGTAAAGTTCCTCGATGTATTGCTTCAGTTCCCAAGCATTGTGCTCAACTGATGCCTTTATACATGAAAAGCTAGAAAACGTATCATTATACTTGAAGGTGACAAGAAACCAAAAAAGGTAATTAAGCATAAAATTAAAAATAAACAGGAAAGAATTAATCACATGGGCAAACTGCAAACTGTTACTATCAAGCAAATGGAAGTTTCACTTTGCACTGCTAAATCTAGTTCTAGAAATTATCAGATTAATTACCTCACTGTGGATTTTAGCAATATGGCAAGCTAGACCTTTCTTTGAAAAGAATCGCTTAGTGGCCACAAAATATAAAGGACCATGGTTGCTAAAAAGGCCTGACAAATATTAACTATTTCAGATCATACAGGGTATAGACAATCTCAAATGTCAAATGGGTAAATCAAAGTAATCTCAAAAATCGGGTTATAGAAACATTATCATACCTGGAATTAGTAGATAAACAAATGAGTTTGGTAGTGTGTGCTCTCCATTCCTAAAAGCACAACATGACGCACAAGCGATCAGATCTTCAGAAAAATGTGATTTAAGTTTAGACTCTGTTTGATACAACGCTTCCTAGTTGAGCATTTATAGTATAGCTTTTATAAATAAAGTTGTTAGCAAAAACTTTTGGATTTTAAACAATATAGACATCTTTTAGAAGATTTTAAGTATTTGATTTTATTTTTTAATAGCTAAGATACAAGCTTCTCAGAAAAGTTTAAATATTGAGTTTCTCTTAATATAAATATTTTTTGTTTCCCAAAGGGGAAAAACAAACCATAAATACATGTAAAGGAACCACATACATGCATAGTATTGCAAATTTGTAACTCTCCCTTACAAGTTTCCTAGTCAGATGCATGAAGAAATAATTTTCAGTGGTACCCATGCCTAGTATTGCAAATTTGGGACAAAATTTTTCAGAGAGAAATTCGAGATTTCTCTTAACATTATGAATTTTTTTAAGATGGTATTAACAAAACAATTAAAAAAAAATCCTGCTCAATTAAGGAAAATAAAATCAAAGTTAAATTAGTTCATACCTTATGGAGTCGAGGAGTTCCAAAAATCTCGCTGTTCCATCTTCCACAGGAGGTAGTCCCGGAGTGTTTTGCAACCATCCAATATCATCAGAAGAACCACGCAAAGTAGTACGCACCCGAGAAATAATGCTAAAGATGGCAAAGTGATTATTCATACTATGTGAGAACGAATATCAAGCAATAGAGTTATGTAAAAGCCATGTAATTATGATTTTCACTGCATAAAAACAGGTTTAACACTTCAAATGTGAGAAGAGAATTGCAAGTCACCATTCAGGGAAAGTTAAAACTACTTTTACCTACGAACTTGAACTTGAGCACATTTGACGTAATAGAAAGAACATCTCCAGCAACCCAGTGTCAATCTCCAGGCAAGTTGTAAACCAAACAATGGAAGCATCAACCTACAAGCAGAAGAAACAATTGCATGACCCGCAACAGAGAATGAAAAATTTCAAAGATAGAGGCATGAGTGAGGAAATAACTCAAGGTAGAAGACATGCAATTCCCTTATTTAACCACCAGATCATGCATCACACATCATATTCAACACTTGCAAAAACAAAGAATATACACAAACATGCACATGCACATGTCACAAATAATTCATATTCAAACTTTTGGTGAATTAATGGAAGAAAACGAACTGTTTACCAGTGAAAAATGAAAGGGATGCCCTGATATCTGTAATTGGTTTCTATAACTTCGAATCTTTTATTTACAAACAATCCTTTCTTGAGGTCCAAGGCTCTTCTTCCACGCACTGTATCAGCAATGTAAGAATTAGATGACGAAGAACATTCTTCCAGAGCAGATTTACAAATGCTTTGTCTTGAAGCTCTTGGATGTTGTCCAGATGAAATGACAACCAAATCTTCTGAGTATCTATAGATATCTCGGAGTGCAAGATCCTCTGTAGTACAACATAGCAATGAAACACATCCTTTACAATTTATGATATGAGTAACGAAGGAACATCACCAAACCAAAACAGTTGGTTAGACAGATATAACATCATACATGTTAAAGGTAATGATGATGTTACAACAGAGACTCAAAACACAACAGCCCAGATACATGAAACCAAAGTGAAAAACTCACCAATGAAATGAATGAATCGACGACTTATATAAGCAGTGAACGTCAAGAGATGGGAAAAAAGATCATCCACCGATGAGCAGAACCCAAGATAATAGAAAAGACTCGTGTTCTTCACAACGTCATAGCAGGCCTGATAAGAGAATCTATGTTAGACAGGGAAACCGAGCTTTCAAACCAAACTAGAATGACCATGACTTGGATTATAATAACGTTGGGTCACCAAGGTAAAATAAAAAAATCAGTTGAATAGTATTTCACAAGATGAATCATCCACATACACTAGCTACTTCATTAAGATCCAGATTATTGGAAAATGATGAGACCTCAATAGTGCTGGTATATGGCAGGAGAACAAGGCAATAAGGTAGTGGATTGAAGGGAAGTTGGCAGGAAGTTTCCTTGGGTTTAGACAGCGACAGATGGCAATAGAGGAATGGGTAAGTGAGGGATTCTGTTATAGAGACAGAGCTGGAGAATAAAAAAGGGAGAAGAGAGCAGATGTGAGAAAAAAAGATAATAGAAGGGAAAATTGAGAGGAGCTAGCCCTCGAAGTCTAGCATTTAGG